TGACCTGGCACCTGAGTTGCGCAGGAGAAAGAGAATGACTTGGAACACCTTAAATAGCGTCAAGAACAGATGACTGGATAAAGAAACTTTGGTACATCTACACAATAGAGTACTATGTAGCTGTTAGAAAAGATAAGTCATGAAATTTACATACATGTGGTACTACATGGAAAATATCATGCTAAGCGAAATGAGTCAGAAAGAGAGGGATGGACATAGAAAGATTGCATTTATCTGGGGAACATAAAGTAACAAAATAGGAGACTAGCACCCAAGAGTGGCCAAGATTAGTACCAGGAGGTTTGCTCCATGACTTGGAGGCCAGCCACACATGCTAGGGGAAAAGGAAGCTCAGACAGGGAAGGGAGCACCAAATAAAGGGTGTTGGGAGGATCCTCCCAGGATGGGAGAAGCATGCTGAAAGTAGACTATAGACCGAACATGATTGCCACTCAATGCCTCCTTTGCAAACCACAACACCCAAAAGGAGAGAGAGAACAAAAGGGAATGCCCTGCCACAGAGGCAGGGTGGGATAGGGGGAATGGGGGGTGGAAGGGATACTGGGCTCTGTGGTGGTGGAAAATGGGCACTGGTGAAGTGATGGGAACTTGATCATTGTATAACTGAAACCCAAGCACAAAAATTTGTAAGTCTACAACTGTACCTCATGGTGTTTCACTAATAAAAATTAAAAAAATAAATAAATAAAACATTCCTGAAACACACACACACACACACACACACACACACACACACACACACCCACACACACACAAGAGCGTCAAAGAAATAGCTAAGAGGATGAAGAACCTCCAGCTCTGGGCACATCTATTCGATTCCATTGTTCTTCCTGCATTAACATATGCCTCAGAGACCTGGGAAACAGTATGAGAATGCTATTCGGGTCTCCGACAGAGGAATCAAAAGAGCTAGGAGTAACCTGCTTCACTCAAATGAGAAAAAGAATATGGAGTTCCGACCTCCATCGACGGTCAAGAATAAGGGACACTGTCTTGTTTGCCAAGGTGTTGAAAATCAGATAGGCTGGACACGTAATGAGATTTGGAGATGATCGCTGGACTAGAGCTGTTACTGATTGGATTCCATGGGATGTCAAAAGATCGAGTGGCTGCCCACCTATAAGATGGTCAGACTTCTTCGTCAAGACCCTGAACGATTGGTTTGAGGCTCTTCGTGTTCCTAGAACGAACAGACGCCATTGGGCTATGCTAGCACGCGACAGGGACTAATGGAGACGTTACTGGCACCTGCTCGAGCAAATCAATGAGTAACAGGATGTCAAGTGATCAAGCCTTAAAATGAAGGGGACTGATCCTAGCATCTAAACTTTATTTACTACATTTGTCAGAGACAGGAGACTTTCCTCAACACTCTTTTCTTTGTAAGTGAGATGACAAAGAGAAGCCTGTTCTCAGTCAGCACTGAAAGTGGAGTTTTATGGACAGAAAGTGATATTGACTGCTCATCTCTGTAGGAATCTGAACTTTCAATGGGTCATTTAACACCTAAAAGAGGATCTTTCTTGGGAGTGTTACTATAATCTATCAGGTAAAAGTATTTAAATTTGGAAATTAATGCAAAATATTACCCTATACATAATTTGGAGACATTAAGAAGACTCTTGTTATATTTATAAATTTCTCTAATTGGTGGTGAAAACCTTTTTCTTGCTAAATCCAGAATCTACTAATGTTGTGTTTGGGTAGTATCAAGTTGTCCACATGGGGAGGAAAATTTAATCCTGAAGTTCTAAATATATACAATTGTGCATAATCTCTAATTACATATATTATATATAATTTGTATCTGTTGAGATGCTATATACATGACCATACCAATTGTTTTCCTATAGCACAGCGGGTAGGGCGTTCGCCTTACAAGCGGCCAATGGCCGACCCAAGTTCGATTCCTCCGCCCCTCTCGGAGAGCCCGGCAAACTACCGAGAGCATTCAATATGCCAGACACAGTAACAACAAAGTCTCCAATGGAGACGTTACTGGGCCCGCTCGAGCAAATCGACGATCAACGGGAGGGCCTTTACCTTTTACCTTTACCTATTTGACTTTTAAATTATCTTCAAGACCAACTTTCTCTTAGGCAGTTTTGAAGCCCCTTGCAGGGAACAAACCTTGTGAAGCTGACTGAGACTCTGCCTTGATACCACGTGCAATAATTTTTATTCTGTGATTCTGCCACTGTCCTGAGTTTCATCTGGGAAAAGAAGCACTGGATCTGTTGTTGTACTATCCCCTCCAACTTATTTGAAAATCTTCATATTGAGAGCTCCTCTTTGCAGTTTAATCTTGATAAGAAAGAGGAGTGAGGTACTCCTGTAACATGGAGTTTTATCTTAGGAACTGTAGTATCAGGCATATTTTATATTAACTTTGAAACACAGGAATCTTAAGCAATGCTAGTTTGTAAAACAAATTATCTTACAAAACATGATGTCAAGTGATACAAGCCAAACTTGCACAGCAGCTTAAATATATAATCAACAATTTATCTTTCTGCATGACTTTCTTTTCTTGAACAGTTGGCTTTTGTATCGTGGTAACCATATTGTGTTTCTTACATTCACAAAATGAATACAAGAAACACACCTCCAGACAGAGGTAATTGGAGCACATGAAGAAATAATGTACATCTATACTATTCTCCTAATAGCTTTATCTGATGAAAGCTAAATTGAATGACTTTCCATCTAAAATCATTGATTTCACTCCCTCTTTTTTTTGCATATGAATCTATTTTTATTCCTAAAATTATTTGGGTAATAAATCGTGGTGCTCAGAGCTTACTCCTAGCATTGTGCTTAAGGACACTCCTGGCAGTGCTGGAGTCCATCTGTGATATAGGAAATTGAACCAGGTTTGGCAGCATACAAGGCAAATTGATTTAATCCCTTCTACTATCTCTCAGGCTGTTTCTTTTCAATTACAGAATAGCTTCCCTAATCCCCCACCCGCAAGCAAACAATAGCACTGTAGCACTGTCCTCCTCCCGTTGCTCATGGATTTGCTCGGGCCGAGCGGGCCCAGTAACGTCTCCATTGTGAGATTTGTCACTGTGTTTGGCATATCGAATACATCACCAGTAACTTGCCAGGCTTTGCCCTGCAGGCGAGATACTCTCGGTAGCTTGCCAGGCTCTCCAAGAGGGACAGAGGAATCGAACCCGGGTCTACCGGGTCAGCCGAGTACAAGGCAAACGCCCTACCCTCTGGGCTATCGCTCCAAACCAACAATACTTTTTTTTTTATTTCTCTCCCTTTTTCTTGTAGTATCTCGAATTCTCCATATCTCCAACTCTACACAAGTTATTAAAATAATCCTTTCATTCTCCACGTTTCAAACCTCTACACAATAATCATGACAATAAGTAATGGTTATTGAATATGTGTACAATGTGGTAGACAATCTACAGATATAATTTAAAAACCAACCTTTCAGTGACCTTGAAATAGGTATCATCTATTTTATAAGTGAAACAATGAGAAATCCTTGGATGAAATCAAGCTTTTAATAGCCCTCTTGGATTAATATAAACCTGTATCAATGCCAGACTTCTACCCCCTTACTCAATTTTTGTTTGGTTATCATAATGGTTGCTCTAAAATACAAGTCTGACAATGTTACTTTCTGGTTTAAATTTCTTCTTTCATTCCCTTGAGATAAAGCCCAGATTCTTTTACAAGATGTATAATTATCTCTCAAGATCTGGGCAACCTTTATTTTTCATTAACCTGCTTACTTCTTTCAGTCTTGCACCTCACACCTAATTCTTCAGCCACTCAATTTGAAGTTCTTAATAATTTACCTCTGCACATCAATCCCACAGCTCTTTTCCCACATGTGCTCTATACATTATCCTTTTGCATGATTCAGCATTAATGTTACCCTAATCTATATTTAATTGGTTGCCTTTTTCCACTTCTGTGGAACTCAGTTCCTTATTTCCATACTTGTCACACCATACTGTAATTGTTTGGTAACTCATTTTGTCTATTGTAGCATACTGTGAAGGTCTAGTGTGGAAGGCTTTTGTCCCTTCAATATTAAATACTCTAAGATTAGTGTAGTGTTTGGCATATAAGGAGTTGCTCATTTTTTTGGGTTGGGGGTGCTTTGGAGAGTCAATGGACTGGAGCATATGCTCTGCATGCAGAAGGCCATTTTCATCTCTGTTTCATGTCCATATTGAAGATAAGTAAATACCAGATTAGAGCAAGTATCAATAGAATAATTACACATCAAAGTCTACATACATAGAAGCAAATGAAAAACTGAAATCAGGGCTTCCACAGAGATAGTAAAATGGGAAAATGGCATTTGCCTTGCACATAGTCAGCCTGCTTTGATCCCTGGCATGGCATACGGTTCTCGAGAGCCAACAGGAGTGATCCCTGAGCACAGATCTGGGTGTGATTCCCTCCAAAACAAACACAAAAAAGAAATTGAAATCAATATTTTAAAAGTATATGGTGAATATGAGAAAGACAATAAACCTACCGGCCAAACATTTTTCATCCTAGCAAAACACATCAGCACTTCTTTCAGTGAATTCATAGCAACTCAGGCTGTAATTACCAACAGAAAGTGAACTATTATTTAGAGAATACAAAGAAAGAAAGGGTAAAAATCCTTATCAGCAGTAGTGTTTGTGATGGTAGCCTGCACAGTGAGAAAACCTGGTGTCCTTAACAAGTTTCAGCATGTTCAGGTCAAATTTCTAAATTTTCTAGATCTCAGTTTTCTTACCACTGAAAAGAAGATGCTAGGAAGGATTTCCTACCCAAACATCTAGTAAAACGCTGCAAAATGTTTATTCCTGACCACACAGGAATGACTGGTTCAGTGATAAGCCACTGAAACACAGCAGCAGTGAGTTGCTAGGGAGAGAACGCGAAGTGTTGCTACATGACGTCATCACCCCGCGTCCACTCGGTTTCCGGACCCAGCGCGGGGCCGCGTTCTGCGCCATGGGGTCTTGGAAGCATGTGTTGCTTTGGGGTGGTATGTTGCTTCGGGGTGGTGGCCGGGCCGCTGCTGCTCTTGGGAGAAGCCGAGTGTTGGTCTGTCGGCGCCAGGTCCGTGGTGCTGCTAGGCAGGGGAAGAGGGCGGTACTGATGCTGTCGCGGTGAGGCCGCGGGTGCTCGGCCAGTGATTGACCGGCCTTGGCCTAGGACTTGCATTAGCCTCTCGTGTCCACCTACTAGGCGGACCCCGGGACCCCAGCTCGATGGATGTCCTTGGAACATGAGAACACGGATGTAGGACTTGCACGTTTTGCTCTGTCAGTGCTGGTTTATGTAGATTATAGGTCAAAGGAAGGAATCACGAGGAAAATGAAATTCCGTAAACATGCAGCTCACTCTTTTTTTTTTTTTAAAGTCATTTTATCCTGGCGAGTAAATTTCAACTTCAACGGAGTGTCTCAACAATTGTAATGAGTAGCAGTAGGTAATTAACGCGGGTGCCTACCTAGTGAATATAACTAGATTAGAAAATAAACCACTCTTAATGTACAAACCCGAAAATAATTTTGCTGTACAGCATGGATTCTGAGGTGGCTATTTTAAAACTTTTTTTTTTTTTTTTTTAAGTTATCTGGTCCTGAGAGTGAAACCCTAAAACGAAGAACACAAATCATGTCCCGAGGACTTCCAAAGCAGAAACCAATAGAAGGCGTTAAGCAAATTATAGTTGTGGCTTCTGGAAAGGGTGGAGTTGGAAAGTCTACTACTGCAGGTATTAAAGAATATTAATTCAGATCTTGATTATGAATGTAAGACAACTGACAGTTGCGTTGTGTTAAGATAGTTGTTTCATTTTTAAAACGTTAGTGCTTATGAGGTTTCTAATAACTACTTAAATTCTGTCTCAGAACCTGGTTAATGTACCCATTAACTTGGGTTTTGGAGTTAAATAAATGTTGGTACATAGGCTGGTCTTTGACACCTTCACTCCTTGAGGAAAAGATGGTCAGATTTTTCCATCAGACTTCCAAGTTTCCTTTAGTTTAATGTCTAAAATAAATTACTTAAAAGTTAAAATGAATTACTTCAAAACTTTCTGCCTAAAAGTTGCATTGTTTATACCTGAAATCCAGAATTGTTTTATAATCTCAAAATTTTATTTATCAAATTGCTATGCTTAGGTAAGTCCTATACAAAAGCATACAATTGTGATAGCAGTTATAAAGTAGGAATTGTCACTGTCACTGTCCTCCCGTTGTTAATTGATTTTCTCGAGCAGGCCCAGTAACGTCTCCAGTGTGAGACTTTGATCCTTATTTTATATAGGAGACTATAAACTTGGTCAAGTTAAATTAAAAAAAAATTAAAAAGTAATTTTGGGTGCACTAGTAGAGTCTCAGTAGAGTCAGGACTTAACTCCTGACTCTATGTTCAGGCATCACTCTTGGCAGAGCTTGGGGGATCATATGTGGTATTGGGATTGAACCTGGTTAGCCCCATGCAAGGCTAACCTTAACACATCTATTAATTCTGTGTCACTAGTACTCAAGATTTTTATCAGGGCCAGAGAGGTAATAAACAGGTATTGATCCCAGTACAGTTCCCAACACCATATAGTTCCCTTATCACCACCAGAAGAGACCAACCCCTGTGCACAGAGCCAGGAGTAGCATAGTAGTTCCTGAACACTGATGGATATGGCCATGACACTCTCCATTCTTTTTTCCCCAGAGGCAGAAAGATTCCAGAGGGAAGTTATGGTTCTGAGAAGTGAGCCAGGTCCACCTGAAAGTTTTTTTAAATTTATTTTTACTACTTTAAAGAAAACAACCTAGATATCGTTTACAATGTTGTTCTGTAACAAAATATGATCCACAGTATGAGAGTTGTTCCTCAGTCTTGGGAACATGTTACTCTTACACCTTTTATTTTGATGTAGTGTGTCTCTATTGCTGAGCTAAGAATGGATTTGGGCTTATTTATTTTTTTCCTTTATGTCTTTAAGATTTATTGCATAGACTCTTTTGGGAACGTATTTTACTACCTTAGTCTCCATCTGTTTATCTCCTTTTTCCATGTCCATAATTTCATATATGTGAACATTTGTAAATTTGATATTTGGAATTCCTGCTTTACAAGCATTTATTTTTAGTGTATATGCCTGAAGTTAGCATTCCAGTATTTATTTCTAAGATGCAATAGGATCATAACCATTTTAATCTATTAAAAGAGTGATAATTTTTATACAAAACATGTATATACATTAAATATTATTTTTAAGTAGATTTTTTGAATAAAATTGTAACAGATTATAACTGGATTTTTTAAAAATTAGATGAATGTGATTTACAAGGTACAAAGTTATTGATAGTTGAGCTTTAGGTGTGTAATATTTCAACACCAATTCCACCACCAGTGTATAATTAAATTTTTTAAAAGATTAATTTTGGGGCTGACATCTATTGCTTATATTGGATTATTTTGTTATTATTTTGTACCTCCTATATTCTTCTCATTCTTTTATTTATTTATTTATTTATTTATTTCTTTTTTTATTAGTGGAACACCATGAGGTACAGTTATAGGCTTACAAATTTTGTGCTTGGGTTTCAGTTATACAATGATCAAGTGCCCATCCCTCCACCAGTTCCCGTCATCCATCACCACAGGTCCCAGCATCCCCCCCACCCCCCATCCCCCCCCCCGTCCCATCCTGCCTCTGTGGCAGGGTATTCCCCCTTGTTCTCTCTTCTTTTGGGTACTGTGTTTTGCAAGAGAGGCTTTGAGTGGCAATCATGTTTGGTCTATAGACTACTTTTAGCATGCTTCTCCCACCCTGGGAGGGTCCTCACAACACCCTTCATTTGGTGCTCTCTTCTCTATCTGAGCTTCTTTTCACCTAGAACGTGTGGCTGGCCTTCCATTCATGGAGCAAAATTCCTGGTACTAATCTCAGTCATTCCTGGGTGTTAATCTCCCTTTTTGTTGCTTTATTCTTTTAATAAGCAAGGGCTATATGTTACAATTTTCTGTGCTTTTGTAATGACAGTATAAAATATTAAAAAACAAAATGAATTTTAGTATAAGTAAAGTTACTGACTTTAATTACCTTTTTTTATTTCTTATAGTAAACCTTGCACTTGCACTTGCAGCGAATGATTTGGTAAGTATTTTTTATAGAAATATTAATTTATTAAGATGTTACTTAAGATAATGATAAAAAGCATATTTATGTTTTTTATTTACTGTGCCAGAAACTATAGTTGGACAATTAAACAACTGGACAATTGAGCATTGGACAATTGAATTTGTCTGCAGCACTGCAACACTGTCCTCCTGTTGTTCATCGATTTGCTCGAGCGGGCACCAGTAAGGTCTCCATTGTGAGACTTGTTACTGGTTTTGGCATATCGAATACGGAATGGGTAGCTTGCCAGGCTTTGCCATGTGGGCAAGATATTCTCGGTAGCTTGCCAGGCTCTCTGAGACAGGTGGAGGAATCGAACCCAGGTCCCTGGGTTGGCCGCATGCAAGGCAAATGCCTTACCCGCTGTGCTATCGCTCCACCCTGAATTTGTCTAAGAAACAAAAAATGCTGCCATGAATGTTGATTACTATGGTAACCATTAATTTATTAATATTACAATAACCATTTTATAGTAATGATAGTGATGGGAAGGGAATACTGGTTAAGAAATTCAGGGAGAACCGAAGAGATAGTACAGCGGATAGCCTTGCTTGAGTCCCACTCAGTTTTGAATCCCAGTTTTTCTGTATGGGCCCCTGAGCACAGAGCCAGAAGGTAGCCCTGAGCTCTGGCTGGTTGTCGCCCAAAAATCAAAGGGAAAAAAAAAAGGGAAATTCAGGAAGCCAGGATCAGAGAGGTAGTACAGCAGTCAAGGTGCTTACCTTGCATACAACTGACCTGGGTTCTATCTCCAAAGCTCCAAATGGTCCCCTGAGCCTACCAGGAATGATCCCTGAACACAAAGCCAGAAGTAACTCCTGAATACAGGTGGGTGTGGCCCCCACACAAAATAAAACAAGAAATTCAGGAAGCTTTTAGAAACTAGAAAGACAGGAAGTGGATTCTTCTCTTGAACCTCCAAAAATTTTGTGATCCCGCCAAGAGCTTAATTTTTACTCATTTAAATTCATCTTGGATTTCCGTGATAATTTTTTCCAGTGGAAGTTGAAAGACATATACAAGAAGTTATCTTTTTCATTCTTGGAATTCCCAAAGATGTTTTAATTTTTTTTCATTGTTGATAAGTTTGACTAGAAATCTGAATGCAAAGTAATTTCCTTTTTGAAAGTTGAAAATAAGACTTCCTTTTAGCAAGCTAATGAAATGTCTGATGCTAATCTGTTTTATTTTCCTTTGTAGTAGTCTGCTTTTGTTTCCCCACCTAAACGCTTTTAGGTTTTTTCTTTATGTGTTTTGAGGTTAAAAGTGTCATAAATACGTATCTAGTTGTTGATTTTATATTTTTCCTATTTGACAATTGGCCAAGCGATATCAAGAATTGAGTCTTTTTTTTTAAACCTAGGAAAAATTTCTTTATTGATTACTTTTTTGGTTATGTGGTTGTTCTTATATCAGAAACCTGATTAGGTAGATATCGATCCTTTATGCTTATAAATTTTCTCTCATAGTCTTCATCTCTTTGTCTTTTGCTCTGTGTTTTGGAAGATGTCTTACACTGTTGCACACTGTGTAAGTAATTTTATTTGTTGTTATTTAGCCTTTGTGTTTTTTTTGAGTATGTGTATTTTATAATTTATGCAATTACTATAGTAGAGCTAATGGACTTTTTAGATAAGTAGCGGGTAGGGCGTTCGCCTCACAAGCGGCCAACATGGCCGACCCGAGTTCGATTCCTCCGCCCCTCTCGGAGAGCCCGGCAAGCTACCGAGAGTATTTGATATGCCAGACACAGTAACAACAAAGTCTCCAATGGAGACGTTACTGGGCCCGCTCGAGCAAATCGACGATCAACGGGAGGGCCTTTACCTTTTACCTTTTATGATATATATTGAGGATATGTACTTGAACATTGTTTTATGTGGTGAAAAAATTTGACTATCACATTGGCCTAGGAAAAAGGAATTTCTTGGGCAGGTTATAAACCAAGCTCAAAAGAAGACTACTTTGTGGCTTGAGGTAAAGGCCTGATAGGAATAGAGTACGGATTTTCCCTGCCTTTCCCTTGTCTTTCCTACCTTCCCGTGGAAATATATGGCAAGGCAGAATTTGGGAATCATATGTGCCATTCATTTAAATATTGTATCCAGTGACGTATTAGAGCTGTGTCATACTAACTTGTGGGAGTTGATTTTTAGATTTTCAGGAATTTTTTAGAGCAGTTGGTATCATGTTGTTAGTTTGAAATAGGTGATAATAGGAGCATTGAAACTAGGGGAGGGGAGGGGCTGGAGCCATAGCACAGCGCGTAGGGCATTTGCCTTGCACGTGGCTGACCTGGGTTCGATTCCCAGCATCCCATATGGTCCCCAGAGCACCGCCAGGAGTAATTCTTTTTTTTTTTTCCCTTTATTTTATTTTATTTTTTTTAAAGTTGTAGATTTACAATTTTTTGTGCTTTGGTTTCAATTATACAATGATCAGATACCCATCCCTCCACCAGTGCCCATTTTCCACCACCATGGATAATATCCCTCCCACCCCCATCCCCCCATCCCCCCGTCTCTGTGGCAGGGCAATCCCCTGTGTTCTCTCTCTCCTTTTGGGTGTTGTGGTCTGCAAAAGAGGCATTGAGTGGCAAACATGTTCAGTCCATAGTCTACTTTCGACATGCATCTCCCCTCCTGGGAGGATCCTCCAAACATCCTTTATTTGGTGCTCCCTTCTCTATCTGAATAGCCCTTTCCTCTAGGATACCCGGCTGGCCTCTAAGTTATGGAGTAATCCTGCCAGGAGTAATTCTTGAGTAAAGAGCCAGGAGTAACCTCTGTGCATCGCCAGGTGTGACGCAAAAAAAAAAAAAAAAAAAAAAAAAAAAACCTTAGGGGAATTGTTGAATATTGAAACTCAGGTTTCTCACTCTACTCCAGCCAATTTTTAAGCATAAACTGACACACTACTGATCATACACATATTATAATTATATTTTTTGACTTTTCACTTTTCTGGATTCTTTAATTGCCCTTATCACAAATCTCATTCTCCTACAATATACATTTAATCACAGTGGAGAAAAATATCAATACTGGGAGGGAAAGCATAAAGATTCCTGGAAAATGTAGGTAAGTTCTCTGAGATTTATTTTTTATTGTTTTGTTTTGTTGTTTTTTTTTTTTTTTTTATTTGGTATTTGGGCAATATCCAGGGTGCGCAGGATGTCCTTCTGATTCTGCACTGAGAGATTATTCTGCATAGGGCTCTGGAAACCTTATGGGGGATGTCAGGAATCAAACCTTGGTCAGCTGCATGAAAGGCAATCGCCCTACCTATGCACTATCTCTCCTATCTGAGACTGTGAGCTTTATTTTTTTCTTTTTTGGGTCACACCCAGCAATGCTCAGTGGTTTCTCCTGGCGGTGCTTGGGGGACCATATGGGATGCCGGGGATCAAACCCGGGTCAGCCGCGTGCCAGGCAAACGCCCTACCCGCTGTGCTATCGTTCAGGCCCGCTGCGACTGTGAGTTTTTAAGTTGGTTCATTTCAACAAATATTTCATACTCATTGCTAAATAAGTGTGTATATATTTCTTCCATATATGTTTACATTTATTTTGTTCATATATAGCTAAAATAGGCTCAGTAATATTTTCCTCTGAGTGAGAAATTGCTAATTATGACAATACTACGAAGCCTTTCATGTATTTCCTAACAAGACTAGACATGTGTCCTTTAAAGCTTTTACAATCTGTTAGGAAAAAAAAGGAAGATGAATGTCATAAAATGACCTGCTATATCCAAAGTCAAATATAGTTGTGTGTCTAACATAACTTTCTTCTTGCCCACACTCAGTGGTGCTAAGGGGTTACTAAGGGCTTACTCCTGGTTCTGCACTCAAGGGTCATCCTAGTGGGGTTGTGGGACCATATGCCATGCTGGGGATCGAACCTAGTTGGCCCACATGCAAAACAAGTGCCTTATGCTCTGTACTGTTGCTCTGATCCCAGGTAACTTCTTATTCTAGAGAAAATCAGTTTCATGAACATAATTATATTTGATTCTCATAGAAACCTGCAATGTGGTACATAAAGTATTTATCACTTCTACAGCTTATTGATTCTGCCTTCTTGCTACATTTTATCTACTGGAAAATATCCTCATTTCTATTTCTGAAAAATTTTTCCAATATATATCTTCCTAGTTCCACTATTCCCTGTCTAATTAAGGATGGTCTTGTTACTTTTTGGATCATTTGTTTATTGAGGCTTCAAGAGTTAATGAGAAGACTGGAAATATAGTGGGTTGGCTTGCCTTGCACACGACCGATCAACTTCAATCCCTGGCATCCCATATGGTGCCCCTAGCACTACCAGAAGTGATTCCTGAGTGCAAGGCCAGGTTTATCCCTGTGCGCAGCCAGGTGTGGCCCCCAAATCAGAAACGAACCCCCCCTCAAAAAAAAAAACACCCAGAACAATAACAACAAAAATCAGTTATTGATAGCCTACTCCATCCCAAGCACTTAATGTTTGTAGGGAGGACAAAGAAATGAATGAGATACAGTTCCTGCCTCTGAGGAACTCACAGATCAGATCAGCAGACCACAGAAGTGACCTTTTAACAATCCATGCACACATCCACTCAGTACATAATGCCAGATGAATTTTATTGAAGTAAGGAACTGTTGGAATTATGTCCTTGCTCAGAATCACAGATGAATGCTTTTGCTGGTATTCAAAGTCCTCCTTGAATTCGGCTCCCCCTTACCATTCTAGTTTTATTTTTAGCTCCTTTCCTAAAATGGTTCCAGTGCTTGAACCTGGGTTACTTTACTTGTAGCTGCCATTTTGAGCTGGTTATATTCTTAATAACTGCAGCATTTCTTTTACATTTCTTTATTTGGGGGTGAGGTGGTGCTCAAGGGGCTTGCTTGGGAGTTGCTCCTTGTGATACTCAGGGGACATGCAGTTCCAGGGATCAAACCTGGGCCTCCTGCAGACAAAGCATGTAGTCAGCCCATT